AGAATCAGTTTACACGTTTACAAACAACTGACCAGGTTATGAGCAAATGATTTTACTCGTATAGGGATGAAGGCCTACAGTTCAATCCTCCGACCCTCCCCACGTGTGTTGTACTACCAAAAAATATATAAATAAAAAATCAACAAAAGGAAGGTTTTAAACGTGTCCTCTCAAGGATCCGTTTTCCAAAAAAAAACCTACTGAAAAACAGATTTTTCCTCATGTGAAACAACAAAAACAAGCCAGGAAACAGCCACAAATGCACAACTCAATAATTAAATTCCATATCTGGTTCCAAAAAACGTACATTGTACAGCAGTGGGAACACCAGTTCAGTAGGAATCATGGCTGTTTTTTATTCTTCAGACTCTGAATTACATCACAGTTTCAGTTTGTTACTGTAGCTACTGACAGGCGTATGAACAGCAAGCAATGGTGAAAAAGGACCAACAAGTCAGCGTGACTTTTTTACAGCTTCAAGATTTTCACTTCAATAAATCAACCTGGAAATAAAATAAAAAACAACAACAAAAAACCTTCAAGTTTTATGAACCGTGGAGCTTTTTTTTAATTACGAATCTGCTAGATGACATAATTAAGTTCACAGTTGTTGATGCGTCATAGGCAGTGGTGATGCTAGTAACAGCGGGCGCGTGTTGGTCAGTATGTTATTGTTGTAAACATTTACGACCGGAAGTGAACTTTTGTTAGAACTGGATTAAGGGAAAATTAAAATAAAATTAAAATCAGCGTGTCTTCATATAACCGAGTTCATTTGGCAATTCAATGCGTCAGTGCACGTCACATTTTGGTGCCAAACATCCTGGATCGAAGGTTTTCATTGAAAAAACACCCTATTCTACATGTTACATGCACATCGTATACACATTAAAATCTCATATAGTTGATCATACCATTTACAAGTTTGGTGAAAAAAGAGGAATAGATACAAGAAATCAAGATATTCAAGGACGTTAACAGCCGCAAGAAAAGGTGTTGTTGTTTTTTGGCAGGCATGCTCCCCAGAGTGACGCGAGTCGTTGTTAACCACAATGCAGTGTGCTTATTAGTGCCCGCCGAGATCGACAGCTTTGTTTAGGTGACGACTGACTGCATTTATTTGTATTTATGTTTTTAAAAAGGGACCTGCATGCCTATCACTCGATCCTATGTGAAAGAAGGCACTTACAGGAGAAAAGTGGTACAGGCTCTGTCGACTAAAACAACCCCCTGTAGATCTCAGAAGAATATTAAACAGGTGAGTCTTCAAGTAAAGTGATGTTTTTCTGCTCAGCCGTGTCTTACTTTCTCTTGGCGATTCGAGGGAGTTTGTCAACGCATGAGCCCAAAGAACTGTGGGGGGCCTTTTGGTGCCTTTCTGTTTATTTCATACATTCATATTGTATGCATGCAGCCTTTCTATACCAAAAAAAAATGGTCTTTCAAACGTCCGGGAATCTATTTACACAACAAAACGAATCGAAAAAGACGTCTTCTGTCGGCCCCGAAAAATCTCTCAACAACGGGAGAAAGGCAGAAGATTTTGGCAGAATTGTAGATCGCTGCGATAAATCGTTAACAGAAAAGGATGACGTTTTTAAATGTCTGAATAAGTAATCTGAACACATGAACACAGTACAGGAGGAAGAGGAAGTACATCCCTGAAGGAGCAAAATGCAAGTCGGACTTTAGAGATTGCATTATCCGTTCACAGGGGCTCAAGAAAACAAAGGTTGACTACATATTCAAGCTTGTTTCCTTCAAAGAAAACTTATCCGAGTTACAGTTTAGGGAAGTAGTCAAGGAAACACATCCATTAATATGAACCTTTATTCAGGGAAGGAAATCTAATTCACCTAAACAAACCCATAAAAAAGAAAGGTCATCCACTTTCAAATACTTAAGTATGAATCAATCGATTATCAAATTATTAGTAAGTGCTTTATTCT